CCATACTGAGCGTTGCATTTTTCCCCATTCAAAACTACACAAGCGACATGTCTTGGGTATTCTATAGGCTTTGGTTATTCTCAGCATTTTCATCAAAGAACATTAAAACATCAACTGCTGGTTTATTATTATTATTATTATTATTCAGATTTTTTTTATAAATTGTGAAGACTCTTATTTTCATTCAATTTTATAATTATGCATTTATACTTGATTTGCCACTGACTAAATTCTACCACGTACTGACACATTTCCTTAATTTATTAATCAATTTAGTTGATGTTCAAATAAGTTTGTCTTTCGCACACAAATCTTTACTATTCATACACGTTACACTGTAAATAATAGTAACCTGCAGTTATTAGCTTAGAGAGCTTTTTCTACCTTTACCTTTAATAGCCCTAATTTACCCCAAATGTTTTATTGGTAAAAACATATTCAGATTCATTCAATATGATATTGAATATTTTCCCCCAACCTGAATAAAACCAGTTAATTTAAATGTTATCGTTTTTAAGATACCTTTTTTTTTTCAGTCCACTGTTCTTAAAATGTACGTTTCTACTATTTACCACATTTTAGAATAAGTAAATCCTTAAAGTCAACAAATTAAAGTATGGGAAGTTTTATGTCCAAATATGTTCAAATGCAATCTTCCTAATATATAAACAAGTCCTTGAATTTGATTGGCTGAGCCCTTCCACGAGTGCTGTTGGATATTTGACCAGTTTCAGCTCTGGTACTGTTCACCGTTTGTATCGCTCCGCATGTCCCTCGTTCTGGACAGGCAGCATTTCTCCCAGTGAGCGGCAATGGCGTGAGCCTTACCTCGGCAAGGCCTTCTGACATTTGTCACTGGCTCTGGAGACTTTGTAGTGGTTAAACAAGATATTATTTGTTTTGGTTACATCTAAACTTTGGTCTCATGAATCAATCATTTTGGTGCTGGGGATTTCCTAGCATCTTCAGTGCAGGTTACTTTGTTACGCCAGTAGGTGGAGGCAAGGGACTGTCTTTATACGCGAGTTGTTCCCAGCCATGTCCTGGAAGACTGCACATTGTGCATGTCACATCAATGTTTTGAACCAAACACGCCTGGTTCACATCATCAGTTCGTTAGTAAAGACTGCAACGTCTGAAAAAGACAAAGAAGACATGCAAAATGTGTAGTGTTGGAGGGCTCCAGGAACGTGGTTGGGAACCACCAAGTTAATAGACCATTCATTCAGGAATGAAAGCAAGGAAATTATGTGAACTTTGCATACCACTTCACACAGTTCAACAGATGAGCAATTGGTCAGCGAAGATCATGGAAAGTAAGAGAACACTCAGTTCACAAGTACTACAAGTGGTATGCTGGTATACTATGCTGTATGCAAAGGATGGACACACCTGCCTGTAGCTTTCTAGTGATTTTGAAGACATTGATTAGCTTGTTCAGGAGTGTTTGATTAGGGTTGGAGCTAAACTCTGCAGGACAGTGGCTCTCCAGGACAAAAGTTGCCCAGCCCTGCTCTACTGTATGCACTTACAGTTTGCACTTTGCCATCTAGTGTATCAACATTTTAGATTTATTCATTTGGCAGACGCTTTTAGCCAAAGCGACTTGAAGCATAACAAAAGCAATTCATCATAGGATGGCAATAAACACGAGAAGTGCCAGTTATACAAGGTTTCGGTCATCATTCAAAATAGTAAAAGCTAAGACAGGACGGGAATAAGGGATAATGAGAACATTTTTAGGAGAATGCAGTAAGGTGCTCACGCAAGAGATGGGTTTTCAATTATTTCTTGAAGATTGTGAGGGATTTGGCTGTCTGGAGTTATATAGGTCATTCCACCAGTAAGGAACGGTGAAAGAAAATGTCCTTGAGAGTGATTTTGAGCCGCTCTCGATGGGACAACAAGGCTCCACTCCCTTACTGACCGCAGGCTGCTGGATGGGACATGACTTGTAAGAGAGAGTGGAAGTAGGAGGGTGCAGAGCCCGGCAAGCGCCAAGGTCTTGAACTTGAAGCGAGCCACAATTGGAAACCAGTGCAGAGAGATGAGAAGCAGTGTGACATGGGCTCTCTTGGGCTCATTGAAAATGAGACTTGCTGCTGCATTCTGGATCATTTGCAGAGGTTTGATTGCACATGTTGGGAGTCCAGCCAGAAGAGCATTACCATAGTCCAGACTAGAAATGACAAGGTCCTGGACGAGTTCTGTTAGGAAGGGCTTGATCTTACTAATGTCTCAATTCCCAAATGGAATACTAAGCACTGTACATTCACTTCCCCCACCTACAATTCCTGCCGGATCTGAGACTCGAACTTGCAACCTTTGGGTTACGAGTCCGACTCTCTAACCATTAGGCCACGATGCAATGCCGCACATAACGCAATGCCACTAGCTTTACCGTAGTAATGAACAATAGTGAACAAAAATTAATTTCTTCATTTTGTTTGTTAGTCACCTTTTATACCCAACATCAGCCCAGTCACCCTCAGATGAAGGCGTATTCTTTATGCAAACACAGCCAAAGATCTTTAACATCAATAATAATCAAATATTAGTAATATACATTGATAATATCAGTAATAAAGTAAATCATGCGCACAGTTTACTAATTCGTTCCTTCGTTTTAAGAAAATTGTGAGTACGTTTTACTGTTTTGTTACCTCTTTTTAATGAAATCATGAGTAAGTTTTACTAACTCTTGTCCACAATTTCATAAACCCGTCAAACATCACATGGCGAACACAGAAGTTTGTCATATCATGTCAGCCTAGTCTAATTGTTTAAACGTATGAATTAGTATGTAACATTTACAGTTATGTACATTTTGATTGATGCTGAAACGTACAATTTGGATGTATTGAAACATTTAAAACATAAACATTGTTACATCCAGTGGCAGCTCCTGGGTTTTAAAATAGAGGAGGCACACTAATTGTATTGGTTTGGGGATCCCTGCCTATTATTATTATTATTATTATTATTATTATTATTATTATTATTATTATTATTATTATTATTATTATTATTATTATTATTATTATTATTATTATTATTATTATTATTATTATTATTATTATTATTATTATTATTATTATTATTTGCTTAACCACTTTAATATGGCTTTTTGGTTGCTTTTAGTCAGAAAATGACCAGATTTTTTGCGTCGCGGGATTAAATTCCCGAATAAAACACGGTAGCGGTCAGTAACTCTGGTGTAATTTGAACGGGAGCGGGCGGTCTAACTATTGTTCCCGACGTCCATTTAGAACAGCATATCTGCACTTTATTCTTATTGACCACCGGTACAGCTTGTGCTCAGGACTGTTAGCAGGCTGTACCGGTGGTTAATATACGGCCATCAGACAGAACAGGCAGGTTGTCGATGAGTGACAGCAGAATAAGGATGGAGCAAAGTGTGGATGCGCTGTCCTTGAAGGACGTTCAACTCGGTTTTGTTTATATTTTGCTTAGCCTATAATTTTAAATGAAAGATGCCGTATTTATTTTTCTCTGCGACACTTTTCCTACTGTTAACAGAAAAATGTCAAACAAATTTAGTAGTGACGTGACATGTGGCCAAATATGGTGACCAATACTCAGAATTAGTGCTCTGCATTTACCCATCCAAAGTGCACACACACAGCAGTGAACACACACACACTGTGAACACACACCCGGAGCAGTGGGCAGCCATTTATGCTGCGGCGCCCGGGGAGCAGTTGGGGGTTCGGTGCCTTGCTCAAGGGCACCTCAGTCGTGGTATTGAAGGTGGGAGAGAGCGCTGTACATTCACTCCCCCCACCTACAATCCCTGCCGGTACGAGACTCAAACCCGCAACCTTTGGGTTATGAGTCCGACTCTCTAACCATTAGGCCACGACTTCCCCATAGTATTTTGACAATACGTATAAAAATAGCTAATAGGCTATTTTTGTACAACCTACTTTTTTTTTTTCTCTCTGCACACTTTTTCCCATTGTGTTGTCAATGTTAAACGAATTGTATCCTGACAAGACGAATAAAAACAAGAAATACAATTTTTGTACATTTTTATTTTCTCTGACACCTTTTTTCCTACTGTGTTGCATAAAATATTAAACGAATTTTGTGTCTTAAGATAATTCATATAAATTCAAGTCAAAGTATATATGAAGTATGAAGCTAATATAGCTTCGATACTGAATTATATTTCTCAGCAGCGAGAAGGTAAAATTGCTGTTTTGAAGTGACTAAACTCACAGCTTCATTGTTTGTAGATAGAGACGCACAGATACAGGTAATCACACACAACTTTCATCTCTCTCTCAAAATGGCCATATTTCTATTGTAAAATGAATGATGTTGACTAAAATGAAATGATTCGCAACTTCCATCTTACCTCGCAGTCATTCAACTTTAAACTGATGCTTCGTTTGCACTGGAAATCGTGCTCTGCTTCTGTGAACGATAAACCCCGCCTACTTTGATTTGATTGGCCATCTCAATTATTTTGACATTGACGAGCTCTGTTAGACCGCTGAGGCAGACTAGACTGAAAATCTAACATTTAAAATTTAACAATTAAATATAACATTGAAATGCCTGCAACATTGTGCCTACAGCCAAATCACAGCCATGCCGATATAGAGCCATATTCCTCTCCTGCTTATGTGATATCGCTCATGTATCATGAGCATTGAGATTTCTGACCAGTATATGTTTGAAATCCAAACATACACAACACATACACAAGATCTCTGGCACGGTTCCTTTATTTATTTTTCGAAAGCATTATTATCAATCTACAAATTCATAGAGTGAAAAATTTAAGGGGGTCTGAATACTTTCCGTACCCACTGTACATACTGACATTCATCATTATTTTAATTCTTCTTCTTATCTCCATTTTTCTAGCTTTATCATACCCATTAGCCAACTAACAAGAAAACTTGTCATTTTACATTTTTTAAAAGTAATACTCCGAAAGCTGTTATGTAAATGTTAGGATTGGGTGCCTGATGTGTTGCACACCTCAATTTGTAAACACAGTTTAGTATCTGTCTATCATTAATTTCTGTGCATTTATTTTTCATAGACAGAAATATGAATCCCTTAATGAGGACAGGCTTAAGTTGAAACTGTACATTGAACCGGCAGCAGATGATATATGATGAAATAACCTGTATGCGAAAGTTACAATACTACAGTGCATTGCAAAATGAATGATCTCACAATGTCAAATTGTGATAATCAAATATTTATATAACACAGTTTCAGAATACTGTTATTTTAACACTCAATGACTGCATAACATTTATATTAAAAAAATAAATAGATTATTGGTATGAAAATAATAGAGCTTAATATAAACTCCACATTTGAACTTTATGAACTTTCAACTGCCAGCCGAGTGAAAATTGTTATTGACATATAATTATAAATAAAATAATTTGTCATAAGCAAAAAAGACCTTACTTCATTTTTGTAGCTCCTTTTAAGCCAATAGTTCATGATAAGAGCCCAGATTTGATGGATCTTATTTTGTATTTTCAATATTATTTTTATTTTAAAATCAATCCTTGCACATGTTTTGGTGCAACCAAATATAGTCACAATGATTTAGTCATGTGAAAAGTTTTCGACTTTGACCTTTGAATAACACATGAAGTGCATATCTCAGAACCTGAGAAAACAGTCCTACAGAGTTGATTTTCTTTAAACAGTAAATAAAAGGCCACATGTTGTTCTAAAAATGTTGAGGTTGCAGAACAGTTTGAAACATTAGCTATCAGTATTGTACGTGACAGACATTATTACAACACAAGCATGCTCATTCTCTACCATTACCAAACAACTGCAGCAGGAACGTGAACAAGTACACAATATCCAGGTAGAGACTGAGTGTTGCAAAGATATATTCTTCAGGACTCATTGCGTATTGCTTGTTCCCGATCAGCAGCTGTGTATCAAAGGCGAGAAACTGGGACAGAAGATGCGAGAGAAGAGAAAGAGACACAGGTCAGTCAACGTTATATCACCTTAATCACATGATTAAATAAGCATCATTTAAAACCATAATCCTTTCTTGACTAATCTGCTTCTCACCATGGTAAAGACAACAGCTCCTATGCTGGCGTAGACCGCATGCAACCAGGGAACCTTTCAAAAGACAAAGCAGTTAGAAAGTGACTAGTATCTATATTTGGACTGTTAATGCTTTTGTACAGATTAGGACTGGGACGATTATAGCTATTAGGACTATAATTATCTAAAACCAAAAATACAGTACTCAACTTGTTTGTTAAAAACTCAGTGAGGTGTTCAGGTGCTGCTACATTTATGTTGACTTGAGAAAGCCATCATATTGCTATTCTGTTTAAACCTAAAATTATTATTCTCCTAAAACTAACATTTCTGCACTGGGTTAAATACAACCCAGCGCTGGGTAAAATATGAACAAACCCAGCTATTGGGTTGTTTTGACCCAGTGGTTAAGTTACTACCCAGAAGGTTGGGTTCAACATTTCACCCAACCGCTGGGTCAAAACAAGCCACTTGCTGGGTTTGTTCATATTTCACCCAGCGCTGGGTTGTATTTAACCCAGCATTTTTTAGAGTGTGACTGTAACTCCTCGAGCTTTAGAGCTATGACCATCAAACTATCACAATATCCTAGCAACGTGAAAGCATTGCTACTGATTTGTCTGTAACACTTTCGTTTAGGGACCAATTTTCACTATTAACTAGTTGCATGCATACACTCTAAAAAATGCTGGGTTAAATACAACCCAGTGCTGGGTAAAATAGGGACACACCCAGCAATTGGGTTGTTTTGACCCAGCGGTCAAGTTACTACCCAGAAGGTTGGGTTAAACATTTAACCCAACCGCTGGGTCAAAACAGCCCAATTGCTGGGTTTGTCCCTGTTTTCCCCGCACTGGGTTGTATTTAACCCAGCATTTTTTAGAGTGTATTACTAGCATATTGGCTGTTTATTAGTACTTATAAAGCACATATTCTGAATGAGCATATTCTACATCCCTAATCCTAAACTTAAAAACTACCGTACTAACTATTAATAAGCAGTAATTAGAAGTTTATTGAGGCAAAAGTCATAGTTAATAGTGAGTTAATAGTGAGTTAACAGTGAGAACTAGACCTTAAAATAACCTGTGACCCAAATTGACGGTCTGAGAGACTGCATGGCCTTAAAACCTTCAAATGTTGAGATTTAAAAAAAACTATGTTAAACTTAAAATTGCTTCAAACTTCAAAATTCAAACTTTCTGGTCAGGCTTTATCAAGCCAACGTCAAAGTTTGTCTTGACAACCTTTTATTTTATTTTATTTTCTTCTTTTTTTTGATCTAGTTTACTTATATTTTTGGATACTTACATAGCCAAAGGGAACCACAAATCCCATGACAATAGCACAGAAAAACATGACCATACACAGAATGAAGAGAAGACCTTGAAAAGAGGTGATGTCAATCTAGAGAGTCAAAAAACAACACTTTAGAATTTTAATATTACTGTATTTTACATGTGCATATATCATCATGGTAACACAAATATAATAAAATACACTGATGTACACTAAAAAGTCTATTAGTATTTATAGTTGGAATAATTCTTCCAGCATTTGCTCACCTTGCTCTGAAAGCTGAAGATGGTGACACACAGACACACTATGGCAGTGATGCCAATGCACAGCACTACAGACTTGGTGTTGTAGAAACTGGCAGAAGTAAGAACAGGTACTGTTATGTTCAGTAGAAATTAAACATATCTTGTAGACTTAAAAAAAATATGTTTGGAAAAGCATGCACACACAACAGACATGTCATTACCTAGAGATGAAACCCAACATGCAAGCCATGCTCAGAGTCTGCATTCGCACAAAAGCATGCAAAATGAACGACAGAGGGGAAAAAAAAACATTTAAAAATCAGGCATATTTTATTTATATTAATGCAATGATTTAAAAAAAAATGCAAACCACAGTATACACTCTAAATTATGACTCTAGAAATTCTAAAATACTAGAAATTAATTAGACCAAAGGACAACATGCACTTTACTTGGGGTGAGGGACAGATTTAAGTATGTAAGTGTAAAATTATAAGTCAAAGTGGATGAAATTTTAAAAGGATTAGTTCGCTCCAAGAGAAAATTTTCTTTCTTTCTTTCTTTGCTGGATCCTCCATCCTCCAGTGGATGCTCTGCAGTGAATGGGTGCCGTCAGAATGAGAGTCCAAACAGCTGATAAAAACATCACCATAATCCAAGGCACTCCAGTCCATCAGTTCACATCTTGAGAAGCCAAAAGCTACGTGTTCATACTGTATCCATCCATGAAACAAATCCATCAAGTAATTTTTTAACTTCAAATCTTTGCTGCTAGATAAAATATGAGTCCATAATCCATAATAAGACTTCTTCCAGTGGTCTTCTCATCTCATCTGAATCAGGAAATATGCACAGATCTAAGCAACATTTATGAACCAAACAGTCAAAAACAGCCCTAAACAAATATGTCGGTGGATTTGATGTGAGAGACAACAGGAGATGGCATTTTTTTACTGGAGGAAGCGTTATTATAGATTATGGACTCTATTTTTATATATATATTTTTAGCCTGAAGCAACGGTTTAAAGTTAAAATGCTTTAATGATGGATTTATTTCTTACAAACACAGCTTTTGTCTTCTCCAGATGTTAACTGATGGACTGGAGTGCTGTGGATTATTGTGATGTTTTTATCAGCTGTTTGGACTCTCATTCTGACGGCACCCATTCACTGCAGAGCATCCATTGGTGAGCAAGAGATTAATGCTAAATTTCTCCAAATCCATGAAAAAAACAAACAAACAAACACCTGCATCTTAAATGGTCTGAGGGTTAGTAAATTTACAGCAAATTGTTTGGGGTGAGCTATTCCTTTAATGCATCTTGATACTCACAAAGATTGTAAGCAGAATAAGATTCCATGGAAACTGCCTCCTGTAATACAGAAATGAAAAGATGGATGCCACTATTATTATGATGTTTTCCCAAAATTTTTTTTTCATATAAGAGATGAGTGTTTAACCAGTATATAACTACAACTGCAATTTATTAACAGTTTATTGACTTGCCTCAAATCACCGCAGCAAGCCAATGAGATATATGTGACAAGAAACAGAAGACTGCAAAATACAAACATTGCTTGAGTTAGAGATACAGTTAGTATGCTGAAATAAATGACCAAGTCGTTAACATTTTAAAGCATTTATGGCTTTAAACATTTTAATTACTGATTAAACAGCAGTTTCACATACTTGGACATGGAGTATAACACAGGATGAGTCTGAATGTATATCCTCATTGGAGCACTACAGCAGAGAGAAAAGGATCAGGAATGTCAAATAGTTAATATACAATCGAATATGCTTACACATAATTGATACATAACATTAACTACCATTCAAAAGTTTGAGGTCAGTAAGATTTTTTCATGTTTCTGAAAGAAGTGTCTTCTGCTCACCATGGCTGCATTTATTTGTTAAAAAGTAAATACAGTAAAAGAAACCTAATATTGTGAAATATTATTACAATTTAAAAGAATTGTTTTCTGTATGAATATTTTGTAAAATGTAATTTATTTCTGTGATCAAAGCTGAATTTTCAGCATCATTACTGCAGTCTTCAGTGTCACATGATCTTCAGAAATCATCAATATGCTGATTTGCTGCTCAAGAAACATTTCTGATCATTATCAATGTTGAAAACAGTATTTTTTGTGAAAACTTCCTGTCCCCAAACTTTTGCTCGACAGTGTAATTCAGTGATGAGACATTGTCATATATTAGTAATATAGCAAGAATCAGTTACTCACCAGAATGTGAAGAGGGCAATAACTGCTACTGTTGAAAAGAGCTGCAGCATCAGAATTGAATAAACCTGCAAGAATATGAGAAGAGTAAGAGTAAGATTTTTTTTTTACAAACGTTTTGATTTGATTGTCCTCTATACTTTACATAATTAAGTGTAAATATTTAATCTGCTACCTTTCGTATAAAAACACGTCTAATATACATGTCATCCCAGGAAAAACATCCTTCACCATAGTAGTAACCAGGACATCCTGCAAAGAGATAATAAAATGACATAAAATTAAGACAAGAAAAAATGATATATATGACAAAAGACACAATGTTAGTTCTGATAGATAGATAGATAGATAGATAGATTGATAGAAATAGTCAGATAGATAGATAGATAGATAGATAGATAGATTGATAGAA